CCCCAAAACCCCAAAACCCCAAAACCCCATGTGTACTTCTTCTGGTAGAATTATCATTATTAAAATTAATGGGAAATACATCTCCAACAAGTGGAACACCTAGAGCAGAAGAGATTCTCAAGAAGGCTGAACACCACAATCTGGTCCGTGCCTTTAAGAAAGAAACTATCCAGGAGCTGCTTAAAGGCGATAAGGCGAGGGAATTGTTAGGTAAGGGACTTTGAAGAGGGATGGATGGGGTTAGAGGAGGTGGATTTTTGGGGGTTTAGTAGGGGAATTTTTGAAGTTTGGGATGGAGTGGAATCAGTTTTTAAATCGTTGCATGGGTATTTGGAGGGCTTAGAAGCATTTTTATGACGTTGGCTTAGTGGTTTGAGCTTTGGATAGTGAAAATATCTTCTTGTCTGTTCAAATTTTATTTAATTTGAAAATATCTGAATTTAGTTAACTTAGAAAGTAAAGAAGATGAAAGATATTTGAATATCCCAAACATTGGCGAATATGTTAATATTTTATCTATGAATGAACAGTCAAGCCTTTAACTATGTTTTACAACTATATTAATTCCTATCTTTATAGGGTCAGCTTGCTCAAGAAAGAATGACAATGAGGGAATCAAAAATATCTTTCCAGGGCTTTTGGATAAAGAGAGCAACAATGACGAACTACAGAAGGAATGGGAAAGTAATCTGGAAGAAGAGCTAAATGAATTCTATACAGCTGGAGTCTCAACTCCAGAAAACTTTATCAAATCCTTGCAAGATACAAGTAAGACAACCGAAAATTTTAGCTACTCATATCCATTTTGCTTTCTCTAAAATCTTTTTGAAAACTGATTAAATGTATCAACTTTAAAACATCAAAAATTTGTAAGCAAACACATTTTTATGCATTTTAGAAAATACAAGAAGCTTTAGGTGATAATACATAAGTTAGATATTAAGCCTTAGTTGTCTTGCTCCTAAGCTGCCACTACTAGTCGTAAGGATCTTGCTCAAAACGACTGGATATTCTTTCTGAAGAAATAGCATAACTAATATTTTCAGAGGACATATTCTTCTTAGCTGAGCCTTAGGCTGAGGGTTTCTAGATGCATTAAAAATAGATTAAGGATCTATAGGGCCTAGATTTTTCTCATCCAGATTTCTTACTACTTCTGGGTTTGAGATTCCTGTAAAAACTGGTGTTTTGTTTCCTTTTTTTAAGGATTTTCTTAACTTAATTCTTCTTCTGAAGTTCAAAATAAGATCGAAACAATGAATGCTTAGCAATGCAACATTTCAATTTATATAGCCTAGGCTTAATAAGCTGCTTTAAAAGCCTTTGGTCATTAATTTCTGAAAGATTTCCTCGGAATCCTTCTAATTTCTTGGTTAAATCTTGCTGCATCTTAATTCATAGTAAGGAGGAGGCCTTCGAAATATCTTTTCAAAACATTTAGAAGCCATGTTGGTGATAGAGCTTTGATCAGCATCTTATATGAGCCTCTATAGTTCCAATAATTTCTTTAAAGTATTTATGCGCTTTAGACTTTGCTTTCTCTTCTTTAATGCACTCAATTACTATTTTAAAAATGAGTTCACCGAAGAATCCTCTAACTACTAAAAAAGGATCTGGAGATAAGAAGAGTGTTTAAGTCTTACTTAACACTTTCTTCGATCCTTTTAAACATGAGGTTTTCTTTCTTTGCATTCTCATATACTGAAAATTACATTTTCTCTTAGAACCAAGCAGAAAATCTTTTATGCTTTAGTTGGATATTTTTAAAGAGTTACATATTGCCTTTTCATAGCTTTTCCCAATGTTAGAAGAGTTATGAAAAATACTAACAGACATTGGATCTAAACCACTATTCGTTATTGCCTAAATCTTATCTGAGTAATAAAATTCCAAAGCTGTCTTATAGTTGGAGTAAGCAAGGACATTTGATAGACTTAATTGCTTTTGGCTAAAAATTTATCATATTTTCTGTGTAAAAGTTTTTGTCCCAGAGTAACAACTTAACTCTTGTGTAGGATTCAGAAAATATTTAATTGGACTGAGAATAGACAGTAAGAAGACCAAAGAATATATGGAAGACTTATATTCTAAGTTTGTGATGCTGTACTCTGTAAGAGACCATTATTATACTGTTTAGTACATGCTTTATTGAGGGAATAAAGATGAACAGAATAGTTCACTGAATTTTAGAAAAGGATTAATCATGAAAATAGAGAATTCTGAAACAGAAGATGGTAGGTTTTACTCTGATTATTGTAGATGACTCAATTACAAGTCTATTTGGTGTGGATCCTATACTCTTGTCCTTTTTGAGAAGTGCATCCATGAATGAACAGGAGAAAGCGCTACAAAGGCTTTATGACTCTGTATATCACAAAGAACCAAGAAAGTTTGATCCATCCTCTCCTGATTTCTATGTGAGAGAGGATAAACTAAATCAGTATATGAACTACTTTACCCTATTGCTTGACTCTGAGACTACAAGTGAGCAAGTTAAGGAGTTAGCTATAAGATTGATTATCTTAGTTGCGAACATCAGAAGCTCTGGTGAAGATTATTTGGTAGCCTATAACTATATTTCTTCAAGGAAATGGAAAATAAATTTGCATGCTGAGTTATCTCTAAATCCTTACTTTAAACAAATAAAGATTGAGGAAGCCGATGACCAGCCACAACCAGAGCCACTCAAGATTAAACCAGATGGAAACTATTCAGTTGTCTATGAGGATAGCAAAAGAATCAAGATAAGCAATGCCGTTGAACATGAAGTTAATTGGAGTACCCGGTGTTCCTTTGCCTTCGAAGAAAACTACTTTTATATGTTTATCAGAAGAAAAGGACTCTTCAAAGTTGGTTTCAGAAATTCTAGTCATGTCACGGCAGGAAAAATCTATAAGTATAGAAAGCTTGATATTGATGACAAGTGATCCCTAGCCTTTGTGAATGGAGTTTTGTACTTAAGACAGGCTATAGAAGAAGACAAAGATAATACGAAGTATAATAAGCCATTGGAAGTAATAGATCGAGACACTTTAGATTTTATCGAAAATGAACAGTTAAAAGAGAGAATTATAAAAACAAAGAGAAAAGTTGGAATTGATAATGCGAATAAACCTATACTTGAACAATCAGATTCTACACTTCTTCAAAGAAAAATTAGAAATAATGCTCATAATATTTTCAGACATGTTCTTAAAAGTTGGATTTTCACAGATGGAGTTAAGCTATACCTTCCTTCATATCACCTTGATGTCAGTGAGGGAGATGAAAAATTGAAATTTGTACAAATTGAATCATATAATGCAGACACATGGGAGTTTATCTCATCTATAAAGCTAGATTTTAAGCCAGCCAATGTTAATAGGTAAAACTCAAAATTTATTTCTAACAGTGAAAATTATATTGTATTTTTAAATAGCTCCAATTTCAAACAATTAAAAATTCTTTTAATAGTTTGAAGCAAACAAGTTAATTTTGCAATTAATTCCTAATTGGTTACAAAGCCTTTGTTATTACAACCAAATCATAGACTCTTAGGATTTATTAGACTTGAGAATTATGATAATAAATATTGTATCAAACATTTTATAAAAATTCGAATTATCCTAGGATCTACTCTTAGGGAAGACCAAACCATCCACTTTTTATACAAGTGAAAAGTATGAAATATATTCTTTAAATTTCTCAGGGAATATAATTTTTCATAAAATTATGAAAGTCTCAAGCAAGGATCTCATGCTTTGGACCTATTTCTATGAATGACTTAGAACATCCATCTGGATGATGTTATAGGATAAAATTTATAAATTAAATAAGTTTTTGTAAAAATAGAGTTTTAAATTCCTGAAAACCCTCACAAAACAAACATTCCAACTTGAGAAGAAGTTCTAGGGGCAAGAAAGAATATTAATTGATTGGAGTGAGATAATGAGTCTTTATTCCATAAACATCATAGTTTAACCAGAGAATAAAGAAGAATAGACTTCCAGGAAATAAAATGGCAAATGGAAACAAAGATAGACGAGCCAAGTCAACCAAAGTCTTTAAAGTTTTATCAAGAAGAGAGATAGCTAGGTGAAATCACAAAAGCAAGCATCAATGGTAGATACAGAAGACCTCAAGCCCAAGAAATTCACAAATGCTGGAGATGCAACTTTCATCATAACAAGTCTGTTAAAGAGTTATAAAGAGATCTTGGAAAGTCAAAAATAGCCTAAAGAAAATCCTTTAAGGAAAAGAGTTGTCAGAAATACTGAAGTTTGCTGAAAATCTATGGTTATCAAAAGAGTGCTTCCAGACAGAATTAAAATAACGAAATTTATCCTGTTTATTTGATAGAGTTAGCTAAGTGTTAGAGAAGAGTTTGCACTCTTTATAGGTTGTTTAAATCATGAAAACTCTCTATAATAGTTAATTTTTCTATATTTAAGATCAATTGGATCAAATTCAGTTTCTAAATTTCTTTAAAATGTTTACAATTTCTTCAGAATTTACTAAGCCTTTATGTATAGTAACGATTGCGAGAGAGTCAAACAAGATACTGAAGATCTTTGGAACACTTTTGAAAATCATTCATCCAGTAAATTCTCTTTTTCTACGAATGGTCAGACCTTGATGATACCTTACAATAATAAGCTATACCTCTTCGACATGGCCACTGGTGTAAGGCATAAAGAGGTTTTAGAGATTCCAAATTTTGGCAAAGGTATTGACTACGACTATAAGAACAATGTGTTTTGGGCATGGGAGAGGGATGAAGATGACCCAACTCTCAAAAGTTTTAAAATAAAAGGCTTCCAAAAGAATCCTTTCCTTGGAAAAGAAGCCTTATACTCTAACAAAAATAATGTTGATCCGGTTACTAAGAATACATTCAGACTTCAGAAAGTTAAGAGAAAGATTGAACCAAGGTCTGATGAGAATTTCTTAAGACGTCTTGAATCGATATCACCTGCAGAGACAGCTGATGCAAATTATCTAGAAAACGACTCTGAAGAATACTCTTTATACTTGCTCATGTTTATACTGAAAAAGGGTTGAGAAAATGTAGAAGAAACTATCTCATTAATCAAAAGATTAGACGACGAAAGCTTTGATAATATATTTAAATATCAAGCGAGGCTATACAGAGGAGAGTTCGGCCCCAATATTTCAACCACTTTTGTTCAAGAAGTTATCAAATGTTTTGAAAAGTACTCTGATTTTGTATCTCAAGAAATGACTGAGGAAAACCTGCTACAACAATACCAATTCATGTGGGTACTAGAGATTGTGAAGAAATTATTCGAGGTCTTTGATACCTTGAAAATTCAATTTGAACAGATTGACCATGGCTCTGGTTTAGCATCTAGAGTAGAAAAGCTAGTAGCACTCATTATTGAAAGTGAAGACAAAGTTTATGAAAAGTAAGTATTAAATCAGAAGATTATTTTGTATTTTTACTCTCGAAAAACTAGAGATATTCCTAATTCAAAACTCTTTAAGTACCTTTGAACTATTTTTGAGTAATAGGTCTACTTTTTAGTTCACCATAAAATTACCTTTTGAGAGATAATATTTTTGTAATGAAAATGTCAAGACTTTTACTTTGATTACATTCAAGTCTTGTCTTATTTTACAATTTCAAATTTTATATTAACATTTTGTGAAGCACCTAGGAACTTGGTTTCTTACTAACGCTGAGTTCAATGTTCTTCGCTCACTGCTCCTCTCTTTAAACTAGATTTAGTGATAAAATTCAGGCTATATGGAAATCAATCTTTGAGAAGTGAGTAGCCATTCAGGGTTTCTTGTATAAAATTAGCCCAATGACAGAGGATGAAGTGATAGAGAAGATTAATAACTTCATCAAATCTATGGAGGATAAAGCAATCACTCTGAACACTGCCATTTTTGCCCAGTATTTATCAACCCCTGAAAACATGAAGAAGTTCCTTGATGATCCTGTGCTATTTAAAGTATTTGATTCCTGTTGTGACTTTATTACAACAGATAAAGATCCTAAGAGTAAGAATCTTGCAGCACAGAGTGCACTCTTAAGTTCCTGTTCTAAGCTCATAAGAACTTATTCTACAATGAATATTTCAGAAGCCTATTCTCAGACTCATAAGGAAGAGCAGGAAGGGAAAGATGGAAACAGACACCATCTCAATAATGTAGTCAATAAGATTTATGAGAGGCTAGTCAACAGCTGAATAATTATTGCTGAAAGAGCTACTAAGACTTTGACCTCAAATATTCACAAAGAAGAGAAATCAGAGAATGAAGAGCAAAAAGATGGGGAGCTATCTGGATATCAAATTGAAGATACACAGCATTCTTCTCATATAGAGCTTTTTGATGTTGTCAATAGCCTGATTTTCACAAAATTCTCTGAATGTAATGACAGAAAAGCAACTAACCAGAGTCTATTCTATAACAAGATAATTGAGTTAGCTGAAGCTTTAACTAATTTCGAAAAGTAAGTGATCTTGAGATTGTTTTTAGAGTTGAATGCTCAGAAGAAGAAACAAAGTCAGATTTTTATACCGCTTCATCTTCTCTGTTCAAGCCTCTCAGTACTCTCGCAGTTAGATTTTTATCTCATATCTCTAACAACATGATCCGCATTACAGATGAATCTCAGGATAATTATGAGAAGGGAGGAACTCAGTATTTGTTACAAGCAAATATATTCTCAGAAGGAATCCAAGATAAGTTCTTAAATCACTTTGATGAAGAGGTTGTTGACCAAATCAAAAATCTTGCAATTATTTTCGATGATCTCCAAATTGTAAAAATTATCGAAGATACTAGCATTGAAGATGAACATAAGTTCATGAAAGCTCTTATTTATGAAGGCACAGATAGAAGAGTTGATGCCTTGATTGATCTACTCCAGTGGAATCTTCTCAATAAAAACCCTGATGCTAAAGCTGGAGGTAAGAAAGGAATGACTGTAGTCAGATGTGCCTTTGCTGCTAATCTTGCCTTAAACAGACACGATGAAACCTGTAAATATACTAATTTAGTCTCTATTGTTGATCGTATCGAAATGTTCATGGAAGATTGCAAAGAAGATATGCCCCAAAATCAGAAAAGCAAAGACTGCATCGAAAAACTCCAAAGTTTAGGAGACACCAGTGGAATTTTTGATAGATGGAAAGACGCTAGCAAGATGAGAATATGGCTGCAAGAGAAACAGAAGGATATTTCTGAGAAACTTCAAAAGAAACTTAAATCTAGGAATTCAGAAAATAATGAAGATTCAAAAGAAGAAGCAAAGATTGAGACTAAGGAAATCAAAAAACTGAAAAATATGTCAGAAGAAGACATATTAAAAATGGAACAAGAAGATGTTGAAAATCTAATTAAGAACGTATGTATGAAAGCAGAGTTGTTGGTGAGATTAGCAACTCCAAAAGCTTGGAAACACTCAGACTTTTCAGAGAAGAGCCTAAGGCAAGCTGAAATGATCAACGATAAAACTAAAGAGGAAGCTGAAAGCACAAAGCATAAATTCAGAAGGGTCAAAACAATTCAGGCTTCTAAAGGAACTGTGACTAACTATGAGAATATCTCCAATAAAGAAATATTTACAACCTGCTCTTCTTCTGTACTTGCAGTCCTCCAATGCTCTAATTCAGCAGAAGATATCTTAAAAGTTATTGGTAGAAACTATGTAAATGCAATGAACAGATATTGAGGATTTAGAATCATGGCTAAAATATTAAGCTTGAAACTTCCTCAAGAGGATGAAGAATACTTACTCAGTAGCTTTTGAAATGCACTCAGAAAAGATCAACAGATTTTAGCTCACTACTCAGATGGGCTAACTGGTATAGGAGGTACCTTACTTAAGAAACTAAGAGAAGGCTTTTACTCTGTTTGCACAGAGATAATTAAGAAATTAAAGGATCCTAAGAATCAGGATCAATTAAAAGTCCTATTAGGTTGTTTGCAATGGAAAATCGGTGCTTCAGATCATAAGTACATCCTTGATAGTGGAATTATCCAACTCTTAAAGAATGGAAATGGCCTTGAAGATAAAGAGAAGAACCTTATTAAATATAGCTGGAATGAAGAAATAACCTTTTCAAAAGATCTCAACAACAAGAACTTATTGCATTTAATCATTGACTCATTGGAGTTAATATTTACTTCATGCTTTTCAGGAATTTTAGAACAAGGTAAAAATGAGGATGTTGAAGTTTCTACAAGTGAATCGTCAGTTAGCACATTGAAGCAGGCTCAATCAGTAGTACCTACTGATGCAACTCAGATTCTTATTCAAACATGCTTGGAAGTTGTTCTAGAGCAACTAGCTAAATCTACAAAATCTTTAGAAGAATTAAATAATGAAGAAGTTGAAGAGAGTAATGAAGGACCTATAGAGGAATCAAAAGAAGAACAAAAAGAGCAAATTGGACTAGTCACATCAGCTGAGAAAGATAGTCAAGCTGATAAAGATCTACCAGCTCCTATTAATGGAAAGTCTACTGAACAAGATCAGGGTCCTTCAAATCCTGAAGTTACAATGAAACTGCTGCGTTTACTTAATATGTTTACAAGCATTTCTTTGAAAAATGACAGAATCAAGGACTATGTTAAGAGGTATATTACGCCTGGACAGATCAGTAAGCTGATAACAATATTGCTTAAATGCTCGATCAGAGAAGGCACCATTGTGTTAGCAATATTATCAAACTTGATTGAAGTTGGAATTTCCTTAAATGTATTTGACAATGCCTTGAAGACCATTTCTACCCTGAATAGAGTCCAAAAAATTACTAAACTGGCGACTAAATCTGAGTTCCCTTCAGTATTCCTTCAGCTCATGTTCAATCTGCTGCTACAAATTAGGTCTAAACAATGGAGAGAGGAAAAATCTCAATTCAAATGGGAATATTCTCTGAGTTGTGGAATAGTCAGATTTTTCAAAAGAATTCTGAGGTCTGAACAACAACTCAGCTGAAGAGATGAAATAGAACAAGTCCTTGAAGATTTCTTGATCAAAGCTGAGGAGTACTCTCTCGGAGAATTTGACGTAATTACTAGTTTGTTTGAAGGAGGAGAATACCTTGGAATGACCATTGGTGCTCACGGAGTTACTGAAGATTATCAAAAGTTTACTATTGTAGGCTTTATAGACGAATGGAGATGCGCAGAGGATTCTGGAGGAGCACAAAACAATTTTAATTATCAGGCATTGTCTACTGAATATACTCTTGATAATCAGAAAATCTTAGCAATTCCTCATGACGAAAACAGTAGTCACAAGAATGTATTTTTATGCAATCCTGATGAAGTTAGTCTTATTCCTAATATTGGAATAAATTATAATGATTTCTTGCTAGATTCTAAGAGGTTGATCCATTTCATCAAAATTCTGAACATTCAATCTGAAAGCACAAATTCTTACTCAGAATTGCTTACCAAAAAGTGTATTGGAATGAAAATACTACTGCAAAATATACAAGTTCATGGAGATTCCTTGCTAAATTTACTTGACAAAGAGCAGCTTAATGATCTCCTGAAAATGATGCTAAAGGATTCTACAAAATCTGAGCTTAAAGAGCAAGAAATCAAGTATGAATTTTGTGAGCAAAAGATGTATTACATCAAGAGTTTCTGAACTTCAAACCTAAATCTTTTAACAAGTGAGGTAAAGATAGAAGATGAAAACCAAGATGCTCAAAAACAGAAAATGAAGAAAAGAAAAGCTTCTAATGGGAGTGAAGTAAATAGCTATATTGACGATTCTAAGCATCCTGAAGAAACTAAAAATGATCAAAATAATAAACTCATTGAAGATATAAATAAAACCTTAGAGGATATACAAGATGACCAAAGAGTAGAATCTAACTTGTCCCTATTGAAAAGGCCAGACAAAAAGAAAAATCAAGAACCTCCTCTTAAAAAAGAAAATGAAGCTGAACTGTATAAATTAGCTTATACTATTGAAGAGACCAAAATATCTGAGCAATATAAGTCTGCTCTTCTAAACATGGCTCCAAAGATCCGCTACAAGATTACTTCTGAAATTCTTCATAAAATTTCAATGGAAGATTACTTGACCGAAGTGGCTAATGATGAGGTAAAGATTGACAATTTTGCTCAATATCTTCTCACTCTTATCGAGGAAACTATTGTTCTTCCAGATTCATCAAGTGACAAAGCTGAATGCCCTCAATTCTTTGTTATATTAGATAAAATCTCCAAGCTAGGAGTAACCTCGGAAAAGCTTGAGTCCTTACTCTTTAAAGTTTTGGATAAGGTTATTATAATCAAATCATGAGAAACATTAAATAAGTGCAATTCGAAAGGAAGAAATTCTCTAAGGGAAGTTATAACAGATAATTCTCAAACGATTGGAATCAGGAATATTAGTTTATTCTCTGAAATGGTGGCTCATTTACTTCACGTATCACCTTCAATTCTTCTGAAATCCAAAAACGGAAAGGATTTGTTCAATAAATTACTAAATCTACTTCTGCTCATTCCATTAGTTTTAAGAGAAGAAGTTGATTTTGGCCAGAAGGCTTATACGGCTGCTTACAATCTTATTTTACCATTTTTGACTAAGCCTGACCAGTTCAGCAGCATGAATATAATCGAGGCTTTGCTAAACCATAAATTGTTGAAGAAAATCTTAGGTAATTGTATATTCTAAATGTATAGAGCACCTTCCCAAAACAGTAGCCTTCTCAAAAGCAAAGTTGACAGACGAACAGAAAATCTTATTCGAAATTTTCTGCTGCCTCAGAGTACTAGAGCAGAAATATCCAAATGTTAAATGTTCCTATGCATACCCTGGATATCTTCTCGAAATTGAAAAATATGTACAGATCTTGAAGGAGACTAATGACTTTAACTTGCTATCTTACTTGCTATACTTTGAAAAGAATGGCTTAGCTAAAAGAGAGGAAAATAAAATTGTTTTAACCAACTCTGAAGAAGATTTTGATTGTGAAGAAGGTTCAAAATATGCTATTGACCAGTGCAAAAAGATTTCAATTACTCTGGATAAAGATAGTAAATTTACAAAAGGAGCTTCAATTCTATTCTCTAAAGACCCTGAAGGAAAGTTACCTCACATATTGATTGATAAGCCTGAAGATGCATTAGAAAAGAAGTTTGACATTACACTATCTCCAACCTATAATCTCTTTAATGAAGTTCAAGATCTTAGACAAAATACTCCAATATACTTCCACTACCAAAATGCAAAGAAGGGTTCTAAATTCATTTCAAACAGCCAAAAGAATACTGTTAAGTATTTAGATTACTCTGAAGATAGTAAAACTCCAAAAGTGTCAACTCTCCAAGACTTCAAGAGGGGAGTAAAAGTTATTGCCCAAGCAAAAGGATATACCTTGCTGTTGACAGAGAAACATCAACTTTATAGAAAAGGAATGAACTTAACTTGGCCTGAAGAATATGAAGACTTTACACTATACCCTAATGAAATTGAATCCGAAATAATTGTTGACGTTAAAGCTTCTTATTTCAACTATGTAGTTCTCACAAGGAGTGGGAAGTTCTATTTCCAAGGTGTAAACCACAATAATCAGTTTAATGAAGATAAAGAAAGCATCCTTAAAACTCTTGAGCATAAACCTAGGCCTCATGAAGATGAGGAGCAAGTAGCCCATTTTGATATTGGACCTGACTACATTATTTATACAACCACTAATGGCAAATGATATGCTTCTGGAAAAAGTTTCTTAAGCGAATTGGGAGAATCAGGAGAGTATGGGGAGTTCAAAGAAATCAAGATTGGAGATGGACTTGAACCAATAAAGCCCTTTGCTCCTAAAACTTGAGACAGCAAGTGATTCTGCATAATGCTTGTAAAGAAGGATGGAAGGAATGAATTATGGTCTTATGGAATTAGCTCTACTCATTTACTTGGTCAAGGAAATGTCAATAGTTCAAATACTTTCTCTCCTTTGGATTATGATAAATCATCAATCAACTTTATTGATGTCAGTGTTTATTCTGATTGAGCAATGGCGGTGACTGACGATGGAAGGCTTTTTGGATGGGGTTCAAACAAATCTTTCCAACTTGGAATAGAAAATCATACAGAAATTTCTAAGCCAGTAGAAATCCCATTCTTCAAAAACTATTATACTAAAGCTGCAAAGTGAGATAAAAATATGGCGATTATACATTGTATTGCAAAAGAAGGTAAGAACAAATTTATTTAAACTTCTCAATATTTACTAGAGGTTCCTTCAAATACCAGTAATTTCTCATGAAAAGTTGAACTATTTTTTAACTAAGCATAGACTTATACAAACAATAGAAATTTCTAATTCACTTGTAAAAGATTAGTTTAAATTTTAAGTAAAATATTGTTAAATTGCAGTGTTTATTCTTAAATAAAACTTTATCTCATAATTTTAAAGAAAACAAGCATGATCTAGACTCTACTGAAGCAGATCCCTTAAATATAAAACCAGGAGTACCTGCATTCTTCGTCACAGGTGAGATTGCGAACAATAAGGGAATCCTTCATTGCGAATTCCTTGATGGAACTTACTGTAAATTCATGGAAGCTGCAGAAAACCAAATTTATTTCTGTATTAATGAGGATCTCCAGAAGGAAGTAATACACCATGGGTATGTCTCACACTCTGACCTCAAACTAGACCCTATTACTGGTACAATGCATTTCTGGAAAAAGGTAATACTTTCTCTAAATTTTTAGGATAACGAATGGGTTTATGCCTCTAAACAAGGATATGCTAAACTTAAAGAAGAAGGTAAGAAACCATAACTATTTATAGGAAAACTTCCTGACTTGTGCTATACAACTAAGAAATACATTGAAGACATTCCTAACAAGAAATGGCCAGATTTTAATGAAGAAGATCTTCTCGATACTCAAGCTTCTGATGACTTTGAGCCTATCTATCTCGCTCGTTTTGATGAAGAAGAGAAGAAATCTTCTGAAAAAGAGAATAAGGATGATGGATTTGTACAATCAAATGAAACTGATATTTTTGAAAAGAAGAGTTCAGATATTAAAGATTCAGTCTATTTTAGAATTGGAAAGCCTTTGAAGGATAAATCTGCTCTCCCTATATTTAAACTGGAAGAATACTTCGGCAAAGAGGAAGACCCTATCTTCAAGATCAATGTCACTCCTGATTATGGGTATGAGAAGAATGACAAAATGATACAATTGAATGCTAACAGTAAGTCTTTTCCTATACTTCACAGAGCATATTTTATTTCTCTGAAAACTGTCTACATTGTTGCTCTATTTCAGTTATTTAACATGATGCTAGCTGACAAAGAAGAAAAGAAAAGCTACGAAAGACTTGCTTTGGGTTTCAAAGAATTTTCTCCAAAGCTAGATAAGCACATAATGCAGAAAATTGATGCATACCTAGCAAAAACAATATACAGTTCACAGACAAGTGCGAAAATAAAATTACGTTTAAAAAACTGGAATTTGAAGACCAAGAACTTAACGGTATGTATCAATTTCAGAAATTCAACTTTTGTAGATTTAATATTAGCTGGTTTTTAATTAAAAATCTGTAATTGTAGTCAGATCATTGCTAATTTATTTGTATAGACAAAGAATGAATAAAAGAAAGAGTCAAAGGAATTCTAAGATTCAATAAGACTGTTTTAAGAGCACTAAGGTAAGTTTATTATTCTTCTGTAACAAACTTCTGATTTACTAAAAATACTAAATGAAACATTGATGCTCTATGATAATAATCTTATCGATAACTGCCTTAAAATAAGTTAACCAAATCTAATAAAGCTCATTATTCCCATTGCTTGTTTGAGAATCAGTTTATCCTTAAATGCACAGTTTTGTTGATGATGCATAACTTTAATATAGGTTCTATATTCCAGAGAAGGTTTCTTTAGGCAATTTCAATGCTCATGATTTGCATTATGAAAGTGTCTTTAGTGCGATCATTACCTCGGCTAGGAATTTTACTCTTGATGCTGTAAAGAATGCATACATTATTATGATTAGAAGTTCTCTAAGAAAGAAGTGTGCCCGCCCTACTATCGAATACAACAAAATTGATGTTCAAAACAAGAAGGATCAAGGCCTAGTTGATGAGAGAGGCAGATGGACAATCTTCTCCACTACTATGAAGAAATGAAGAGAAAATGGCTACAGGTGTATGAGAGTTAAAGATTCAAAGTCCAAAGCATGGACTGCTAGATTGGTTGGTAGAGGAAGTATTGATGAAGGAGGACCATATAGAGAAACTATTAATAATATCACCGATGAACTACAAAGCCAATACTTGCCGTTGCTGATTCCTACCCAGAATAACAAAAATGATCATGGATTTGGAAGAGATCTTTGGACTGTTAATTCACATTCTAATACAAAAACCCATATGAGGATGTATAAGTTCTTTGGAGCTTTACTTGGAATGGCTTTCAGAGCAGGTCAAGTTATGGATATTAGGCTTCCATCAATCTTCTGGAAGAAATTCACAGGTGAAAAAATTACACTTGAAGATCTTGAGTATTCAGATGCATGTGCAGTTCAGGTGATCAAAGAAGTTGAAGCTATGAAAGAAACTGTAAGTATTTTATGTTATAATTTAGGCAACTAAAGAAGATTTCGAAAAAATGATGGAGCTCACTTGGACAACCCAGCTATCCAATTGAGATACCATCCCATTATGTCCTAATGGAGAACACAAAAAAGTGTTATATGAGGAAGTAGATGAGTATCATAAACAAATAATAAAAGCAAGAATTGATGAATTTAATGAGCAATTTGAATCAATCAGAGAAGGCTTTGACATCATTTTTCCAACATCCCACCTAAGAATTTTTAACTGGAGATTTATTGAGCAAAAAATTACAGGGCCAACAATAATCTCAACAGATTATTTGAAATCTATAACTCATTACCCAAATTGCAGCTATTTGAATAAGTATGTGAAGAGATTCTGGAGAGTATTCGATGAGTTTACAAACCAAGAGAAATCAATGTTTTTGAAGTTCACATGGGGGAGAACAAAACTTCCTCCACCTGAGAGACTCAATGATAAAAAGTTCAAGCTTATGTTAATCTCAAAAGGAAGATCTAGAGATCATGATACTCTTTTACCTGAAGCACATGCCTGCTTCTTCCAGTTTGATCTCCCAAGATATTCAAAGAATAAAATCTGCAGAGAGAAAATTTTAGATGCTATCCAAACATGCAGAGGCATTGACACTGAGGATGCTATCAACCAGACTAGAAATCCTCTTGGTTTGTTAGCAGATTTGGATGATCACTATGCAGGCCCTTTACCAGCACATGAAATGGAAAGACTTATTTTCGATTTAATGGAAAATAACAGAGGCGATTCTGATTCTTCACATTAAGCATCTTCATCATGGATTCAATGCATAATCAAAAGCATTGAAAGGATTTTGTTAATCCTAATTACTACTTACAAACATTCAAAAATGGTTGTTTATCTTTTGTTGCTTCAAATTAATAAATTAAATTGTAATATTTATAATTATAGAGTTACAGCCATAATCAGACGCCTCGGGGTTTTGGGGTTTTGGGGTTTTGGGG